GGTTTTGAATATCCATCGACAACCAATTGGAGTTTTACCATCAGGCTTGTCCACAATGAGCCAAGTTTGGTTCTGATCCAGGGCAGCAAGCTCATCATTCACTGCAAGCTCCCAGTAACCTTCCTTCATGGCTTCTTCGTAGGACTGTGGATCCATACATGAAGAAATGTTCAAACAAAAGGATCTATAGGCAGGGGGGAGACATTGGTAAGAAAGGTAGTTGGAGATGGGAAAAGGGATTTTAGGTAGAAGAAGGGGAGTCTTGGTAGCCAAGCCTAAATGATACATTTGAAGGTAGGCAGGCTGTTTATGCACTCTATCAGATTTGCGTAGAGCAATAGGTGCAGAAGGACTAGTCTCTGAATGACTAGGGGAAGAATCTGAAGAAATGGGAGCAGGAGATTGAGGGGGAAAAGGTATTGGGGAAGGTGGATCCATAGTTGTGGTTGGATCTGAATGGGAAGAAGTAGATTCATCTGAAGATGAATCAGAAGGTGAATGAGGACTGTAAGTAGGGTCTGAGGGATCATGAGGTTCAGGATAAAAGGGTGTAGGAAGTTGGGAGTCTTGAATAGGAGTCGATGTGGGGAAAAGGGATATATCTGGTGTGTCTGGCATGGAATCTGCTGGGGGGCTGCTGTCATGTGGTGCATTTTTGTAGGGAAAAAATGTTTCATGAAATATCACATCTCTAGAAGTAAAAACTTCTTTAGTGTCTGGATTATATAATCTGTAACCCTTCACTCCAAATTCATAGCCAACAAAGATGCATTTGATTGACCTAGCAGCAAGTTTAGGCTTGTGTGGCAAAACTGAGGTAGCATATGCCAAACAACCAAACACTTTCAGATCTGAATAGTCAGGTGGAACACCATATAGGACTTCAAAGGGTGTCTTGTTGGAAAGAACAGGGGAGGGAAGTCTGTTAATTAAGAAGGCAGCATGGAGAACAAAGAAACTCCAGAAGGTGATAGGTAAACCAGACTGAAATCGCAAAGCCCTAGATACATTCAACAAGTGTTGATGCTTCCTCTCCACTCGACCATTCTGTTGAGCTGTCCTAACACAACTCATTTCATGGATGATTCCATGTTTAAGGTAGAAGTCCTTTAAATGAAATTCCTGACCTTGATCAGATCTGACTATTTTGATCTGTTTGTTGAACTGAGTTGAAACAAGAGCATGGAAGGATTGAAGAAATTTTCCTGCTTCTGACTTAGTTCTCATAAGATATATCCACACACATCTACTACAGTCATCAACAATAGTGAGAAAGTAACTAAAACCATCAAGAGAAGGGGTATCAACAGGGCCCCAAATATCAGTGTGAATCATATCAAAGGGTTCTTTGCTAATAGAAGAGCTCCTAACAAAAGGGAGTCTTTTCTGTTTTGCTAAATGACAAACTTCACAGTGTGTAACTGTACTGGTATCTACTTCCTTATGCTGTTTTTGTATTTCTTGTAGCTTGGGGAGTGAAGGATGTCCAAGTCTACTATGCCAAAGGTTAAAAGCTTGTGGTGGAGGAGTTGGATGGTGTCTTGGTGTCTGGGATTGGTCAAAGAGGTAGAGCCCTCTATTTACTCGGACCAAACCAATCCTCAGTTGAGAAATGAGGTCCTGAATGACACAAAAATCAGAACGAAAAATGAGTGAAACTGGGGAATCATGTGTTAATTTGCTTACAGAAACAAGGTTGTAAGCAAAGGAAGGAACACAAAGGACATTGGTTAACAGCAAACCACATGATAGCCTAACTATCCCTATGTGTGTGACTGAGATTTGTTCCCCATTAGGCAGTGTAACAGAAATACCTTCTACAGGTTTGTACCTAAGGTAATCATCAACAGAACAAATTATGTGGTCACTAGCTCCTGTGTCTAGCACCCAAACATGGTTTGTTCTATTCACTTGTGTTGAGAGAACATGTGTACCTGCCATGGAGGTGGATGGTCGATTCAGGGTTACTGAATGTGCAGCAGGAACATTAGGTGAAAGTGGTGGTGAAGGTGAAGACTGCTGCTGCATCATGACCTTCAGTTTAGTGAAATCCTCCATGGCTGTGGAAAGTCTTGCTAGGATGGACTGTGGGTCATTAGAAGCCCCTTGTCCTCCATGAGAATAGGATTGAGAAAGTTGTTCCCCAACATCCACAGAACCAGCAAACTTTGAATTGTCTTCCTGCATTCTTTCTCTGGCTTTCTTCATCTTCAGTTTATAACAGTCCTTAATGACATGATTGTTCTTTTTGCAGTAGACACAGAAAAGTTCTTGGTTGGCATCTGGTTGTGGTGTTGGCTGAGACCTAGGGTATTGTCTCTGAGACTGGTTGGAACTTGCTGCCAAAGCAATGGAATCTGCAGGCTTGTTTCCAACCAGACTAGTGCCCTTCATCTGTCTTTCCAGCTGAATGACAGATTTGTATACTGAATCCAGGTCAGGCAGGGGTTCTATCAAAAGCATCTGAGTTTTTACCATTTGGTAATTGGAAGATAACCCTTGCAGAAACTTTATGACCCTGCCATTTTCCCTGTACATACATACTGTTTCATAGGTCTTGGATGGGCAATCACAAACTGGTATAGGCTGATAGGAATCAAGTTCATCCCATAAAACCTTAAGGTCAGTATAAAACTGCCTCACTGACTGATTTCCTTGGTTGCAATTAGCAATACGACCCTTTAGATCTGCAATCCTAATAAAGTCTCCTTGCCCAAACTTCGATTTCAAATATCTCCAGGCTTCACTTGCAGTTTTAATTTTCATAAGACTTGGTCTAATATCATCAGAAACTGAACCTCTAATCCAGCATAGTATGGTGCCATCAACTCTTAGCCAAGTAGAGTGTAAAGGGTTGTTACCATCTGGTGCCGGCAGCGTCCCATCGATGAAAACCATCTTGTTTTTGGTTCTGAGCGCTTCCTCCATGGATTCACTCCAAACAAGGTAGTTTTCATCCGTGAGCTTGAAGGACAAAATTGATGCAAAGGAGCTGTCTCCAGTGGACATGTAGTAGGGATTCATGTAAGGATCTTCAAATTTGAGCTCCTGGTTCACCATTGTTGTTGTGCTCGAATCTGATGCAGTTGCAGAAGTACTCATTGTGTATCAATTGAAAAAGAGGCTTGAAAAAGAAAAGGTGTAGAAGTCTTGGAAAGAAATATGGTTGATCAAGAGCAACCAGGCTCTGATACCATGAGAAAGTTCTTGTATGGGTTAGGGTTTCGTAGAGGATTGAGCTTAGAAGGGGAGAGGATGGAGGCAGATAGAGTTATTGGAGAGAAGGCTCAATGGCCAGCTCTGTGGACTCAGTGGTCCTTTTATATACAACGGTTATATTAACCTCTGTACAAAACCACCAGTCACATGATGACAAGTGGCAAAGACCACTGCTTAAACAATAATGAATCTGTTTAACTAAAACGACTACGTATGAAAAGCTATACAGAAAACTATTCACAAAAAAAAAACTATACACAGCTATTGAACTATCGCACTCCAGTCCTTCCTGTTCTTCAGTGATCTTCCTCTGTAAGTGCAGCAGTTCTTCAATCATGATCCTGTTCTTTATTCGTCTAACTCAGGATCTGTCAATGTTCTTCACAATGTGTAGTAGGTAAGTTTCTCTTCCAGAATTCCTCAGTCAAAACATTAGTTCAAAATATTTATTAACAATTGAATTAATCGGTCACTCTTATGACCATTTCTATGCTTAAATCAAGATTGGCAAAGAACACGCTGCAACATTCAACCTTGTCCAATGATGCGAGACAATTCCACAGTTTGAAAGTAAATTACTAAACTGAATTTGCTCGTTTCAAGCTTTACAAAGTCAAACACAAAATCACATGGCTTCAACTAATAACTCAGGATCAACAATTCAACTAACTTAAAGCATACAACCAGAACCTTAAATTGTTTTGCTAATGAGAAGGGGCAACAATAATATCCATCCTAAATTTATTCAAAATGCTGGAAATTCAACCTCTTTATATTGATATTAGGAAGGACTATTTTAACGTCCAAGTGGTAGATTGGGAATAGGATTTTTGAGCTATATATTTGTAGTGTCAATTTCAACTAGGGAGGCAAATGAGAGGAATTGAGCCAAGTTTTAAGTTCAACTCAATAAAAATAAGGTTGGCTCAAGTTTGATTCAAGCTTGACTCATTAATGAGCTCACTAATCGATCAATTCACTCTAAAAGAATAAAACCTATAAATTAATCAAATCTAAAATCTCGCAAAATTAATTTCACTTTACACTTTTATCCTTTTAAAAATTATTCTTCAAGTTATACACTTAATAGGAATTTTACACACTTTTCATTCACTTCTTTACTATTAATTATTAAACATACTATTCACCATCCCATCAACTATCTTTCTATTGTTTACTTTTCACCAACTTTACTTTTTCTAAAATCACCAAACATATTTTTTCGACAAATTTGAGATGAAAATTCACAACTTTCAGGAAGTATTACTCAAATGTAAGAAAAAAAAGTAGAAACAACCACACACTCATTGGAGTGTGTCACACGGGACAATCCCATTTTTCTTGTTGGTGGATTGGAAGTGGCCAAGTGGGTCTCAGCTGGTCTGGTCGTAGCTTAGTCATTGTTAAATATCTCAAGTTGTTGCCACCAAACATAAAAATCCATTTTCTTAAGCTTACATACATACTCGATCCAGATCATCAACGAGGTCGTCATATAATATTATCAATCAGCTCCTAATCATCTGCTCCATCATCATTTCTTTTTAGTTTTTGAACCGTACGGACTTGCAACTCAAAGCATATAGCAGCTGGCTGGATCCGAAAATTTGGGGAAGCTTCAATTCAACTAAGAAAATTAATTTACATTAATGCTAGTTGCAGACTTATTGTAGTCTCTCTCTCTCTATTCCTTAAATCAATGGAGAACGACAGTTTCGGTACTTAGTAATTCTGGTTTCTATTGGAGAACATCCGATAAAATTCGAACGATACAGAGTACAATGGCAATGATGATCACGAGGGATGTACTTGAGGTCGGAGGAGGCGGCGGCGGAATCAGCTACGAGGACTGGAGCGACTGCCTCCAGACTTATCTCCTCTCCCGAGATCTCTGGCACTTGGTCGTTGACGAGCAACCCATTGACGGTAATATCAGCAGTACTGAAGGACGTTGCTGGCGGCGGGAGAACGCGGCCGCGCTGCACGCGATCAAGATCTCGTGCGGCAGCGGCCTTCTCCGGCAGATTAGGGGGATCACTTCCGCCAAGGAAGCTTGGGAGGCCGTCGCCACTTTGTATTACGATCAGGTTGAGAAGCAGCAGGCAGAGCTGCTCCTTGATGTTCAGGAGCTTCCGTCGGGAAATGTCAACGTACAAGGTAATGAAATCATTAATTCCCTCTGACTGTCCTTCTCTGCACAAAGTAGCCATACTTTGTGGATATAAGACCTCTTACAATTCAGTTAATAATGGAAATTATTGTACTGATTGGGTATGGGGTGAGTATGAATTATGGTCGTATAGAAAATTTTAATGATATATAGATGTTAGATGAGCGATGAGTCGGAGATGGATTTCGAAGTGGGGTATTATGTACAGATATCCGCAATTGTCGGGATAGGATGTAGATTAAAAACTTCAACGCTTACGGGAATGAAGTTAATTATGTATGGGTTTATGAATTGAAAATGAGGATGAGGATGGATATAGCGAAATTCGTCCCAAACCCAACTATTTATATATTTATTCAGTATTTTATATATTAATTTAATAATGGTTGCGATCCAGAGGTTAACCAGCCGGCCGACGATGACTTGGCGGAGCTGGAAGCCTGCATACGTAGAGGTGACATATCCCGACTACGTGATTTGATTCGACGGAACCCAGATTCGGCGGCGAGGCGGTTCCCCGGCGGGCGGCGGGGGACCGGCCTGCATCTGGCGGCTAAGTTCGGAGAGGCGGAGGTCGGCTATGAGCTGATGCGGGCAATGAGAGAGGAGGACCTCGAGATCAAGGATGGCGACGGCTGCACGGCGCTTCACATTGCGGTGGCGGGAGGCCACCGCCGGATGGTGCGGGAGATGGTTTACAGAAACAAAAAGTTGGCCGCCATTTTCAGCGGTATTATCAGAAGTCAACGAGGAGCGGCGGTCCTGCCGGTGGAAGAGGCCTCTCGGAAGGGCGATTCCGATCTGGTTAAATTGCTTTACATCGTCACTCCACTTAGGATGCTGTTTGACGAGAACGACGGCAAGCACGGTGCGAGTGTGCTCAAGTTCTGTATCCACCGTGGAATATGGAGTAAGTTTGATTCATTCATTTTTTCTAACTCAATCAAATTGACTTGTTTGCTGGTAAATTTTTTTTGAATGTATCGATTTGATTGGAAGAATTTTTGAGTATCCATTTTGGAACATGCAATTTCAGTTTCGAATGAAGTCATTATAAATGACTCGTTTTTATAAATAAGACAATTGGACGAATTATCTTGTTTATGAATTGATCCATCGAAACCACCCTATTTATGTATTGTGGTTATTTTGACAAATATTGATCAACAATTATTACCGAAGAGCAGGCATTGCACTGGATATGCTGAGGCATCGCCCAAGCATGGCTACAACCATGGATGCCAATAATTTTAATGCTGCTATTCAGTTATCTCTCATGTCGACTTCATTCCCCAGCGGAAGTCCAGTTGTCTTCTATCTACAAATCTTATACTCATGTAAGTTTCTCTTTATCAATCATATATGTCAAGAAGCAGTGATTTCTAATAACTTGAATTATTGTACGTGAGAGATTATTCAAATTATCAAGATTAAAGCACGCGATTCTTTAATGGACGGCTCGATTGTCATATCGAGAATCAACAAATTCTAAATAAGTAGTACTCCAATTCCTTATATCTTTTATGTGTTCCCCTAGATTGTAAGTTTTAAATCTATGGATTGGCAGATATAAGGGTAAGACTACCTGGTCCGTTGCATCCAGAAGAGGACAACTTTGGGATGAGTTCATTGAGCAACACCAAACAAACCATTGATCGACAAGGACAAGGTATTGGGCGTGCAGTAGTCATGCATTCGTTATTGTCTTGTTGATTGATTGAATGCCTACTACTTACTAACAAACTGACTGACCTGTACTTGACGTGTTCTCAGAGGAGACTTGGTGCCGTAAGTTCAACAAAACCTATCACTTGAAAATGGCCCACATGTGTTCTCTCGAACTCCTAACCCTCGTATGCCAACATGTTTCCTCAATATCATCGACCCCGGCCGGTTTGAGAAAGCTCCAAGGCCACGGGGTGTGCGAAGCATTCCACAAGGCCGTGGAGAATGGGATCGTCGAATTCGTTGAGGAGGCAGCGAAAGCATGCCCTGCTTTGTTGTACAAAGTCGACGACAGAGGCAGGAATGCGTTCATGACGGCGGTTGAGTATCGACAAGAGCAGGTTTTCAATCTCTTGTATTCCTTCCACGACAGAGCAGCCATTTTGTCGTCGGTCGACAGAGAGGAGAACTCGATGCTACATGTGGCTGCCATGCTGTCTCCTTGTGCCAATCTTTCTCACATCTCTGGTGCCGCTCTTCAGATGCAAAGAGAACTCCAGTGGTTTCAGGTTAGTCATATTATATGTTTCAATAACTCAAGTTATTAAGATAAGTTGATTTGTGACATGATATCATAGATGGTTTCTAGTTCTCACAGCTCTCAATATTAACTGTTATCTTAAAGTACGTGGTATAGACTGAGCTTATGCAAACTTTGTGCCCATGTGTTGGCTCGTTTAAGGGGGTGTAAGAAAGTGGTCAAGTATCATACACATACTTCTCACAGCAACTCGAGTTATTGGAACCAATTGGTTTATGATACAACTAACTCAAACTGTTATGAGAGATTCAACTATGGATCATATAACACTTATTACCACACCTACTCAAACGAAAGCCATCATATATATGATTTTGAAGTTTGCACATGCATGTCTGAATACTATGTGCTAAACAAATGGGGTCGTCGCGGGATTTGAACATAAGACCTCTCGGTAATAGAAGGCTCTGATACCATGTCACAAAAACAATTGTATGGATCTTAACTACTTTATTACACATTGTTTCAAATGAAAACCAACTCACGAACTAGATGTTTGCAAATGCATGCCCACCATGCATTGTGTTTTAAGCAACCGGTAAGATTGGGGATCATGGAGTTTCGAACAAGCGACCAGTTAGCCAAACCAACTCTGATATCGTGTCAAAAGTCAGTTGCTCTCAATAATTTGAGTTGTTGGGACCAACTGGGTCATGACATGATATCAACGCCTTCTGTAACCGAGAGGTCTTATTCGAATCCCGATGATTCTGTTTATTAAGCATATGGTATGCGGATTCCTATGCAAATTTCAAGCCCTTCTGAATTAGTGTTCAACTGTTCATCTATGAGAGTGTATTAGAAAATGTTACATCATTTATCTCCTTCTTAGTTGGTGTTCAACTGTTCATATAAGAGAGTGTATTAGTAAATGGTACATCATTTATCTGGTTTTTGAAACGTACAGGAATTGGAACATCTAATGGATCCCATGTACAGAGATAAGCTCAATTGCACAGGCGAAACGGCAAAGCAAGTATTCGTGCGGACCCACCTAGAACTAGCAACGGCGGGACAACAATGGATGAAAGAAATGGCGACGGCTTGCAGCGTCGTCGGTGCCCTCATAATCACGATCATGTTCACCGCCGCGCTCACGGTCCCCGGCGGGAACAAGGACACTGGGCTCCCGACCCTCCTCGACGACAGGTCGTTCAAGATCTTCATGATATCCGACGCCATCTCCCTCTACGCTGCGTCCACTTCAGTCCTAATGTTCCTGGCCATCCTCACGGCGCGCTACTCCATGGCTGATTTCCTTAGATCCCTCCCCACGAAGATGGTGATCGGGTTGTCGACGCTCTTCGTCTCGATCGCTGCCATGATGGTGACTTTCTCTGCTACCGTTGTGATCGTCATGGACCGGCAGTTGGAGTTTGTGGTTCCGATGATACTGCTCGCTGCCGTTCCGGTAACTCTGTTTATGTTGCTGCAGTTTCCGTTGCTCATTGAGATTGTCATGTCGACCTACGGGCCGAGCATCTTCAATAGAAACTTGAAACCATGGCTTTGACTCGCAACAATCATACCGTATTTTGGGGCAACCGCGATCCGAACTATTTCAGAGGCTAAGCTCTATCATTTAGTTTCGTGGGAGATAAGAAGTCTTCGTCGTGCTGTTAATTAATCTCGATGATGTATTCACCATGTCGGGCACAAATACCCCTTGTTGTTTAGGGGTTGGATCATATAGTTGTGTTTGTACTATGGTTTAATCAATATATTCGTTTTTTATTAATGTGATGGTTGTGATTTATGATTTTTTCTTGCTTATATCAATTGCATTAATGTTTTACAAGACCACGCGCATGTGTGTGAAAGGATAACCGATGTTTGCCCCAAATTTAAAGAATTCTTATCTCTGTCAGTGGTTCGATCTAATTGTAAGGTGTGTGGAAGTATGTAAAGAGTAATTCTATTGATGGAATCTGTTTCTATTGAGTTGATACAATAGTACAAGCTATCTATATATATACATGCATTCAAACAGTAAAATAAGTAGATGGTTATAAGTGTAGTTGGCAGAAGATAAGGAGAGTAAAAGCTATCACATGGTTCTCTGAAGATGGATAGATGGCGAGAGCAGAGCAGTGGTGGAGGGAAATAATGGTGATGGTGTGAGCATGGTCTTCTGTAGAATGATATGGGTTCTATTCTAAATTATATCTCTATCACGCCCCCGCAAGATGGAGGCGGGAACGACACCAATCTTGGATCGAAGAAGAAGATAACGTGGGGTTGAAAGCGGTTTAGTGAGAGCATCGGCTAGCTGATGAATGGTGGAGACATGACAAACGCGCAGGCGAGCAGATTGCACAAGTTCTCTCACAAAGTGGAAGTCTAATGCCAAATGCTTCATTCTCGAGTGGAAAACTGGATTTGCAGAGAAGTTTACTGCACCAAGATTATCACAATAGAGGACAGGAGGATTGGGAGGGCGATGATGAAGCTCGATTAATAAATTTTGCAACCATTCAAGTTCAGCGGAGGCATGGGCAAGAGCTCGATATTCAGCCTCGGTGCTAGAGCGGGCAACAGAACGTTGCTTCTTTGACTTCCAAGAAACAAGATTACCTCCAAGATAAATAAGGTAGCCCATGGTCGAGTGGCGATCATTAGGATCTCCGGCCCAATCAGAATCAGCAAACGCTTCTAGTGTAAGAGAAGTGGAGTGTCTAAGCTGTAAAGCAAGCTGACGAGTACCCTGTAGATACCTCAATAGACGCTTGACAGACTGCCAATGAAGTTGGGATGGTGCATGCATGAACTGAGATAGTTTGTTGACGGCAAATGCGATATCAGGACGAGTGCAAAGTAAGTACTGAAGTGCACCGAGCACTTGCCTGTAAAGTGTGGCATCAATAAGGGCAGAGCCATCATGAAGCATAAGTTTGGCTGACGTGCAGAGCGGAGTTGGAGAAGGCTTAGCATCAGCCATCTGAAAACGGTCAAGAACATCGGATATATACTTCTGTTGGGATAGGAGAAAACCAGAGGGACCGGATAGGATTTCAATACCCAAAAAATAATTCAGCTCGCCTAGTTGTTTTAGTGAGAAGCGAGAGGCAAGATGCTCTTGAAATCGATTGAGCAAAGTAGAATCATTCCCTGTGAGAAGAAGATCATCAACATAGACAAGGAAGTAGAGCAAGACCCCATCATGATGGTAGACAAATAAGGACGCATCGGACTGCGTTTTGACGAAGCCATAACTTTCAAGAAAACTGCACAATGACAAATACCACGAGCGAGGAGCTTGTCGAAGTCCATAGATAGGACGATGGAGACGGCACACAAAGTCAGGGGTTTTGGTATTGAGAAACCCTGGTGGTTGAGCCATGAAGACTTCCTCTTCTAAAGAGCCTTGGAGAAAGGCATTGTTGACATCAAACTGGAAGATAGGCCATTGGTGTGAGAGAGCAATGTGGAACACTGTCCGAACCGTGACAGGTTTAAGTACTGGGCTGTAAGTAGCATGAAAATCAATGCCTGGCCGTTGATTGAAGCCCTTGGCCACTAATCGAGCCTTATATCGATCAACGGTACCATCCGCCTTGTACTTTATTCGAAAAATCCAGCGACAACCAACAAGGTTTTGGGTGGAAGCTGGAGGGACTAGTGACCAAGTGCCATTAGAGGTGTGGGCGGACAATTCCTGTAGCATGGCGGCACGCCAACGAGGATCGGCAAGAGCTTGCTTAACCGAGGTAGGTTCAAAATGAGAAGATACCTGAGCAGTAAACATCTTTTTAGGCTTGAAAATACCATGTTGACTGCGAGTCACCATCCGAAGAGGTGGAGCTGAGGGCAGTGGGAGGACAGCAGGTGATGGTGGTGGCGTGGGCGGTGAAGGAGCTGGCCGTGGGGAGGCAGACTTCTCGGAGGCAGAAGAAGGGGATGGCGATGTAGGTTGTGTACGAGCAGGAGCAGAAGCGATGCCCGGATGTGTTGATGAAGAGGGGACTATTTCAGTAGTTGGCTGTCTGGGAGGGTGAGGCGTCGTGGAAATAGAAAGAGGGACAAGCTGCACAGTCGGAGTGGTGGAGGCAAGCCACTCTGATGAAGACAAGGAGGACTCAGAACTAGGGGGAAGACCAGGAAAAGTAGTTTCGACAAACTGAACATGTCGAGAAACAAAGACACGACACTCAACTGGATCAAAACATTTATATGCACTTTGGTTCGTGGAGTAGCCAAGAAAAATACATGGTCGAGAACGAGGGGCTAACTTATGAGAAGTGTACGGGCGGAGCCACGGATAACAAAGACATCCAAAACTTTTGAGTTTAAAATAATTTGGAGACTCATTAAAAAGAGTGAAATATGGTGTCTGATTATGGAGAGAGGTAGATGGAAGACGGTTGATAAGGTACACGGCTGACTGAAAGGCATGAGACCAGAAAGAACTGGGGAGATGTGCACAATGCATGAGTGTAAGACCTGTTTCAACAACATGACGATGTTTGCGTTCTGCTAAACCATTATGCTCCGGGGTGTGAGGAGCAGTTAGAAGATGAGATATGCCTCTATTTTGAAGATATGATCGTAGTTTCTGAAATTCACCCCCACCATCAGTAAAGACTCGACGAATAGAAGTATGAAAGTAGTTTTCAACCAGACGTGTGAAAGTGATAAAAGTGTCAGAGACATCAGACTTGTATTTGAGAGGATAGAGCCAAGTGTAGCGGGAAAAGTGATCAACGATGACCAAGTAATATGAAAAATTATCAATGGAGCAGATTGGCGAAGGACCCCAGACATCCATGTATAACAAATCAAATGGTCTTGAACTACTTAAAGTAGACACTGAAAAAGGAAGCTTATGAGTTTTGTTTACCAAACAGGAATCACAAGAAAAGGAAGCCGAAGAAATGGAAACAGGAAGAGCTTGAGAGCGCAAAACACGAGAGAGCAGCCTAGGATGTGGATGTCCCAGTCGATTGTGCCAGACAGTCGATGAAGTTGTAGTAGTGGCAAGTGCTAAGCGGACGGTCTTTACATCCGGTGGCAGCTCGTACACATCCCCTTTATTCTGGCCTCGGAGTAGTTACGCCCCCGTGGACAGGTCCTTCACAACAAAACAATCAGAGAAAAACTCCACTGAGACTGGATTAGCTTTACATAATTTAGCAACAGACAGTAAACGTTGCTGAATGGCAGGAACACAAAGAACATCCTTGAGTTGCAAAGAAGCAGCAGATGCATAGATAGTAGAGTTTCCAATGTGTGTTATTTTCAAACCTGTACCGTCGCCGACAAGAACCTCATCCGGACCATTGTAGTCTGTGTAAAGAGAAAGATTGCCAAGGTCTGGGGTGATATGGTTGGTCGCTGCGGAGTCCATTAGCCAACCGGGACTGGAAGGAGCAGCAGAGGTGTGATAAGCTTGAGCAGGAGGGCGTCCATGAAGACTGTAGCACTCTTTTGCAGTGTGCCCGGGTTTGTCACAGAACTGACAAAATATCCTCACTCTTCCACCACGACCAGCACTGTGTTGATGACTAGTAAAGTCAATGATATTGCCACGGGAAGGTTGTTGGTGGTGTTGAATTGATTGAAGGGAAGAGGGATACTGTCCTTGATAAAATTGCCGATGAGGAGTTTGTTGAGGGTGCTGAAATTGCCTTTGATGAGAGGGCTGCTTGGAAGGAGAGAAGCCACGGCCACGCGCTGCTCCTCGTACACCACCACTCCCACGATGAATAGAAAAGGCTGTTGTGGGAGAGTGTCGGTTGGCAGCAAGGTCAGTTTCAAACTCCACCAATCTGTCATGGAGATCTTCGACATCAATCGGGTTCTCACGAGCACGAAGGGCAGCAGCGAGAGGGCCAAATTCAGAGTTCATCCCTCGTAAAATGTTAAGGACAAGATCTTCATCAGCAACTGGTGCTTGAACGAGAGCTAGCTCAGTGCATATGGTTCTCATCTCCTGGAGAAAAGCAGAGACAGAACAGTTGCCTTGTCTTTCTTGCACAAGCCGGGTCTTCAAACCAATGATCCGAGATCGAGAATTTCCTGCATACATTCTCTCAAGAACGGAGTATGCTTGACGGGCAGTGATTGATGCCGAGATATAGGGAGACACCACATCAGATACAGAGGACAATATAGCATGTAAGATCAATTGATCTTGACGATACCACCGATTGCGTCCAGGAGCGTCTTCTGCCGGTGCTGTTTTTGTGCCATCAACAAATGACAGCAAATCCAGACCACGAAGAAGAGTTAGCAGCTGTGCACGCCACTGAGGGAAGTTATTTTTGTTTAACTTCGTGGGGAGCTGTGAAGCCGGATTGAGAGAGACGACGTGATTGTCGTCGCCGGTGAGTGGGAGCACCACAGAGCCGTCGCCGTTTGATGGGGAATCAGACATGTTAATTAATAGAGAGGAAGGATTTAAAAAAAAATGTTGTATCTATCTCCCAATTCGGTGGAGAAGTCGGAGAAGATGTGCGGCCGGCTTGGGGTGGTTGTTTTCTATTTGGGTCGGTGAGTTGGGGGTTTTTGGAAGTTGTTGTTGTCGAAGAGAAGGAAGGAGAAGAAGCAAGAAAAATAGCAGATTGTGTGGCTTGGAGATTTGGGGCTAGGTTAAGGGATCGGAGCACTTGTGCTTCTGTGCTCTGATACCATGTGGAAGTATGTAAAGAGTAATTCTATTGATGGAATCTGTTTCTATTGAGTTGATACAATAGTACAAGCTATCTATATATATACATGCATTCAAACAGTAAAATAAGTAGATGGTTATAAGTGTAGTAGGCAGAAGATAAGGAGAGTAAAAGCTATCACATGGTTCTCTGAAGATGGATAGATGGCGAGAGCAGAGCAGTGGTGGAGGGAAATAATGGTGATGGTGTGAACATGGTCTTCTGTAGAATGATATGGGTTCTATTCTAAATTATATCTCTATCAAGGTGCTCATCCAGAAGCTCATTTCTCACTACAAGGAAAATCAATTATGTCTACGGTTCCCTAGCGTCGGTTGGCTTTGGTCGTCGTTAAGTGATATAAATGGGACGGACAAATCGGCCGTCCGAGAGACCGTCGATAAGTGGATATAATTTCTTTACATTTTAATTTTTTTATTAATTGCAAAATTGGATGGAATTTCCATGGCAGAGGAGATGGTTTCCCCTTTCCTCTTTCTTGCCCAGCATGCATGTACCTCTATTGCTTTTAGCTTCATGGCCTTTTCCTTCCGTATGGAAAGCCGATCCTGGGCAACAATACATATGCATGAGTCCGTTTTCATTTATTAATTATCGAGAACTGTAGGAATTCATTTTTATTGAATTGAATTGAAATGAACTTTTAAGCTACTGATTTATACAGAATAGGGTGTTGTCGTCTCTGAGAAAGACGAATTAAAAATGCTATAAATTATTAATGAAATGTAGGTGGATATTATCCCACATTATCTCATATTATATAGTCTTGAATGCTAACAGTGGGAAAAGCAGTGAGCTGCCAGCTCATATGGTTTTTGTGATCTTTAATACTTCCCTCAAGCTGGCGCGTAAAGGTCACGAACGGGTAGCTGCAAAGAAGGTAATGGAAGCGATCTGATCCAAGGCCTTTGGTGAAAAGGTCAGCAACTTGATCACGAAAACTGACTTTAAGTGGACAGATGTCTTGACTTTGGACCCGTTTACGGACAAAATGATAATCCATTTCAACATGCTTGGTGCGTGTTACGAGATCAAGCCATCGTAACATTTTATTAATTACTGGGCTTGCGTATCTTTTCTTATTACTTCATATGAAGTCTATATTGGGGAATATTATTATTAATAATTATAATAGTCATTCTAGTTGGATTAGGAGATGTGTTAGTATTTAATTAATGTTTCTTGTAGGGGAAAAAAGGGAATTCTAGTAGGATAAGGATAAGGAGAGAGGCTCAAGACTTGGGTGAGAAGGAATGGGATTTGGTTGTGTAACTCTATAAATAGAGACATTGTCTATGAATAATGGTATGAGAAGATTGGAACCCAATTTATGTTTGTTTGCTTTGATTATTTCTTTCGTTCAGTTTAGTAGTTTGTTAGTTATTTTGGGGTTGTTCTCGCCATTAAGGAGATCCTCTACTCGAGAGCGTCGAGAAGCGTATCCTAAAGTCCGGAGAAGTCAAGATCCAGTACGCAGAATTCCGCCCCTACGGCGCATCTACGTAACAGTTGGTATCAGAGCCCGGTTCTCCGGCACCGCAAAACCATGACGATTGAATGTATTAGAGCAAGAGAATTGGTCGCTACGTGGAACCGATATGTGGAGAGGTTTTGCCCCGATCGCATCGACTCCATGAGGTTGCCAACTACCGAGTTGGAGAGCGTTACTTCTCCACCAATCGTTGCCGCCACCACCGAGCTAAATTTAGCTCCGAATTCAACACCGTCCGCCAACGTCCTCATCGTATCAACAAAGGCCACAACGGAAGAGCTAACCTTAGCTTCTTCTCCACCGCTAATGGTGCTAGAAGCCGCACCGCCAATGTCATCAACAATCGACCCAGTAAGGGAGAGATTAACCTTATCTCCAACCACGATGTCTATTACGGATTGGGAGCTTCCGTTGACGCGTTTTCCTACAACTTCACCACCCGCCGCCGTAGCTCCGATTTTCACGCAACATCCAGGAGGAGAGGGTTACGCGCCTTGGGCACGGAGTTACGAGGAGACCCTTCCTCGTCGCGTCGTTGGCTGCCCTAGCTATCCGTCTCTGTTACGTCCGCTACCGTCTTCACATCACCCTCCATGGCCGTATTATTATCATGATGCTCCAGCCTACTATCAAGACTTGGAAAGCTTGGCTGCTAGAGCTTCGGAAGCGGCAAGGACGGTTAAACATGATCGTCACCCATATCCTCAGCTTGTCGCGGTTGATCGGAGTCAACTTCAAGGCTTTCTTGATCTTCAATGGCATTCTCCTTAGGAAAAGATGCCGCAAGGGATCCATGGCGAGGAGAAAGCCGATCAGCATCTACAAAACTCGGCGGGTGCACAAACCTATCCTGAAGTCATAATGCCGTCAACCACGGGAGAGCTAGCGGAGCCCTCTACTGTCGTTCCCTCTGAGCAAATTTCATTAAAGGAGTGGCAAGAGAGTTGGGACCGAAAAATAGCAAAGCTCTCTGCCAGGAACATGGAGGCTCCCGGCGCTATCGGTTCTAATGGGTCGATCGCCTCCGCCATACCATCATCGCAAACTGAGGAGTTCGGATTGTTGACATCTTCGCTGTCAACTTCAGCTCTAGTGCTTCCTAAATACCCTCGCGAGCTTGAAATACAACGAACTTGGCCCATTCAATGTTCGTCTCTTGTGGAGGGAGAAGACCAGCCGATACGGACTTCCAATATCGCCACCAGCGAGCCGTCGACTACGAGCGCGACATTACAGAGCTGGGAACAAAGATTGGCGGAGCTCTCCACCAGATATGATGCGGCGAATCCCATCACTATCGATCCGGTCGTTCCAATCGCCACCACACCGTGGATGTCAAAGTTGCAAGCTGATAGAACCGCCGTCGATGTCGCCGTGACGGAATCTTTTTCTCCAAAAGATCGTGCGCCTGGGATGAAGGAACAATTGGAGTTGAAGCTGAATGGTGAATATGCAGCTGGAGCAAGTTCGATCCTTAGAGGAGGCCCGCATGGACCTGTGGCGGTGCGTACGGGGTTGGTTCTGGGATGCATTGGGCCGAAAATGGGTGTACTCACGGGAGCTTTGCTGTATGGGGTTGGACCGCCACATTCTGGGCTCGCAATTATAGGTGGAACGCAGGAGCACCCAGGTTTGCGAGGCGAGGAATTAATGGAGAGATTGTGGTACGGCGTCGACACTATGACTGACGTTTTCGGTGATAGGAGCTTTGTGCGAGTGGTCGAGCGCAATTGGAAGTACCGCAAGCGCAAGCTACATCATCACTCGCTCATTGTCATCAATAATCAGTGGAGAAGGTTCTTCTACATCGATCCCAGTTGAAGCAAGTATGATCATTCTACCAACCTTGAGGGCAAGGTCGCGCTTAAGGGGGGAGGGATGTTACGAGATCAAGCCATCGTAACATTTCATTAATTACTGGGCTTGCGTATCTTTTCTTATTACTTCATATGAAGTCTATATTGGGTAGGGGTGAAACTGGGCCAAACCCAGCCCTGACCCTGTCACTACCCAAAAAAACCCAGCCCTGTATGCTCAAATATTTGGCCCGACCCGGCCCGACCCTATTCTCATTTGGCCCTGTATGGCCCTGTTGGGTCGGGCTGGGCTGGGTCGGGTCGGGCCATAGGGTCGGCCCAACTTCTTTTTATACAATATTAGCCCACTTAATTATTTAATATCAAATTAAATTTCAAAAAATTGCAGGTATATACTAGAAAATTTAAATGAGTTCATAACAAAAATAATCTAAATTAAATAAAGAAATTATTTAAACTAATTCAAAAAATAAAAGTTTGATTACAAAAATTCCAACTAATTCCAGAAAATTTAAGTTAGTCCAAATTCCTATATCAAAAATCCTAATTAATTCGAAAAAATCAAAATCAATTCCAAAAAATTAAAATTACATCTAAAAAGTCTAAATCACCTTACGATAAATCCAAATCAAATAAAAAAAATGCAAATTACATCTAAAAAGTCTAAATTACCTTACGATAAATCCAAATCAAATAAACAAAATGAAAATTACATCTACAAAGTCAAAATTACCTTAAAATAAATCCAAATCAAACAAAAAAAATGCAAAGTACGTAAAAAAAAGTACACAATTTCGCAATTCATCAAATACATCGCTGATAATATCAAATATATCATCTTTCAATCATCATCAACCAAATCACTCATGATAGTACTATCATCCAAGCAAAACTCCTTTAACTCTGCAAAATTAACAAAACCACAAATAAATTAATAATAGTATAAACAAATGATAAAGTGTTAAAACCACATTGTTGATAAAATTCATACCTTGCTCAAGTTCTTCAATTTCCTCAAACTTCTCTTCCATATCAATTGGAAGAGTACTCGATCGAAGCCAATTCTGACCACAAATCAAACTTTCAACGACCAAGGGAGTCAAAGAACTCCGAAATGCATCTAGAACGCGTCCACCGGTACTGAAAGCGGACTCGGATGCAACAGTAGATACTGGAATCGCCAACACATCTTTAGCCATCAAACCCAATATCGGATACTCACTAGAGTGCTTCTTCCACCACGCTAAGATATCAAAATTCTTATCCTCATCATCCTCAATGTTTGCCTTTAAATACCTCTCAAGTTCCGAAATAGTAGTTTCTCCAGCTCTGTCTTCTATTCTCTTTCTTTTAAATTTTCTCTTCAGATAATCCTCAACATTTTCACACTCCTCGTTCTCGTCATTTGGCTCTACACTCCCCCCACTTCTTGAAGAACTTCCACAAATAACCCCTCTCATTTCTGAATAGTTCTTGAACATGTCATCGAGAAAACCCTTCACCTTATTATGCAACTCCTCCTTGGTCCAATCTCCCCCATTATCTTTCCCATAAACTTCATCAAGTGCAAAAACCACATATTCTAGCTTGTATCTCGGGTCAAGAACCACAGCAATAAATAACAAAGGGTTAATATTGTCCAAATTGCCCCAATACTTGTCATGCTTAGCTTTCATTCTCTTTGCCATGACTTTTTGACCATACACTTTAGATGAAGTTTCCTTTTTAAGCATGCAAGCGATGCCATATACTACATGAAAGAGATCATTGCTTGTGACATACAAAGATCCCGAAACTTTCATTGTAGCATCATAAAATATCTTCAGAAATGGAACTAGAGACTCCACATAAGACCAGTCCAACTCCTTTGGAGTCCCTTTCAACTTCTCAAGCTCAACTTTATACTTGGGATCCTCCTCCTCTAACCTCTCAAATGCCCTTTGAAATTGCAAAGCCGACTCCAACATCATGAAAGTAGAGTTCCATCTAGTCTCCACATCTAAACATACAAGTTTTTTGGTCTCTAACTTCTCTTCATGAGCACAAGTTTTAAATCTCTGCATCCTAGAGTTCGATGATCTAACATATCTGACTGCCGATCGAATACGATAGATTGAATCATCAACATCCTTTAATCCATCTTTCACGGTCAAATTCAATATGTGAGCACAACATCTCATATGGAGATGTTGTCCTTTCAAGACACTTCCCTTCCAGTTGTTAATTCTTTTCTTCAAATATGACATGCCCACATCATTAGAACTTGCGGTATCCACTGTTACAGTTAGGACCCTATCAATCCCCCAACTAAGCAAATGTTTTTCAACCGTCTTCCCAATTGTTTGACCCGAGTGATTAGGAATAGAAGAGAAGTTGATAATCCTTTTTTGCATCCTCCAATCATGGTCAATGAAGTGGGCAGTGAGACTCATATAATCCAGATGATGTCTACTTGCCCAAATATCAGTTGTTAGACAAACTCTGATTTGTGATTGCTTAAAGAAACTTTTCAACTTTTCCTTCTCAGCCAAAAACAACTTGAAACAATCTTTTGCTACAGTGATTCTAGAAGGAATATGAAACTCGGGTCTTAGTGAGTAGACGAAATCACGAAATCCTTCACGCTCAACATGTCTAAAAGCTAACTCGTCTATGATAATCATTCTAGCAAGCTTCATTCTTGAGACAGTTGGGTCATATGCTTGAGCTACAAAAGAGGGAGATGCACTGCTAGTACCATGAACACCAGTTGCCTGAACGTTAGGAGTTCTATTACTCTTCAAGTTAACATCACTATACGGGTATACTTTACATCTTTGCAAATGTCTTCTCAAACTACTAGTCCCAGAAGTAGATGCACACTTCAATTGCTTTGGACAGTATTTGCAACCAGCAAGTCTATTTGGCTTATCCGACCAATTCATTCTTGTAAAGTGTGGCCACACATCTGAAGTTCCGAATGCACCTTCTTCACTCTCACTAACATTCGTTGGCAGAACTCTTTCGGAAGGTGTGCCGGTAGAGCTAGCCATGGGATTGTTACTAGTTGCTTCGTCCATAATTTCAAATCTAAAAATCACACAAATATAAAGAGTGGTTAAAAACCTGAAATCCATATGGGACTAAGCCTCAATTACTTAGGGGTCGTTTGGAAGTTGTGATTCTTCAAATTGATGTATTGGGTTTAGATTGTGTTTTTGTTGTAAAGGTATAAAAACGACTTAATCTCGTTCAATATAACCCCAAAAAACGACTTAATCTCACAAATACATGTATTATTTCTAGTTACACCATGTGTGGATTTTTGAATTTTATCTGGATTTTTTTAATTGTTATTCCACTTGTTGGGTTGTCTTAAACTACAATATTCAGATGATGATACATTTCATATACATTGTCGTACATAACATAGATGCATGCAAAACTATGTTTCGAAAAATAAAACCATCTATCTAGTCATGGCTGGATCTAACCTAAAAGGTGGTCAATACTATGGTCTCATGACGAACAATCAAATGCATGTGGTTGTAGTTGGGTAATTGATCTAATTACAAGGATGGGCTGTGAAGACAAGTGGTCTCCCGTGGGCATAACCCATCGGCATGACTCATTCGTTCTTCGCAAAAAAGACCCTAAAAGGTTCAAGGTGGGCCCGGGTGTAGGACCAATATCGGCTTGGTAATATTATCTCATATGTACATGCAAAATCAAAATACTAAATTCATCCATAATTATAAAATATTCATCATTTAACACCACTAAGCATATCTCTTCATGTTAAGCATTTAACACCACTAATCGCCAGATGAGTAGGCGTCAGGATTACCTGCACAATTATCAAATACTAATTAGCTTGAAAACTCTGCACCAATAATCCATAACAAGTACCTCGATTTGATGCAAACAAGTACCTCGATTTGGAAAGGCGATGTTGTTGGCGGATAACGTTCGACAACCTTACCGTTCTTGTCCACCAAGAACTTCTCAAAGTTCCATTTGATCAAATCGCCTAAGAAGCCCCCAGCACTAGACTTGAGAAGGCTAAGATTTCAAGTCCTACATTCAAACACAAACCATGTTAGAAATAGACACTTTCTTTTTTCATTTGTTTACACTAAATACATCATGGATCACAGGAACACAGTTGTTACAAAACAACCTTAATAATTACTCTTTTTCTTATTTTTTATTTTATTTTTGATCAAATTTCAAGAATTTCCATCACCCACCAACACCATAACTAAATGAACAAATAAATATCACCACACATACACAGTAAAAAAAATTACAACAAAAAAATAAACTCTCATAATCTCACTCCCCACCCCCAAAAGTTAACTAATCACATAATAAAACCAGCAAACCCAATGCTCCCCAACAAAGAATCTAACATGTTAACTGATCAAAAATGGGATCTCACCATGAAAGGGTCAAGGGGAAAACATAAATATTATATATGGCAACTGGCTAGAATGAGCTTGCATCATGGATGGTCCGTGTCGCTCAAGAGACAGAGCAGAAGGGGACGTGGAAACATCGAACAGGCATACTTATCCTCAAGGTATATGAGTTTTTTGCAGCCCTAAAAGCTTCGAAACAGTTTCACTTACAGCTGGTAATTTGCTAGAACACTAACCAGGACATGGGCCGGATCTAAAATGGGATCTCACCATGAAAGGGTCAAGGGGAAAACATAAATCTTATATATGGCAACTGGCTAGAATGAGCTCGTCTGGAAAACTTGGTGGCTGATAAATGAGTCATGAAAACAAACTTGTCTGAGTTTCTGCTGCCCCCATGAACTAACACAAGTACCAAACAGGCTTGCAACTTGCCTAAAGCATAAAGCCAAAGAATGCAAACTCAGCCACCAAACTTGCCCTTGTTCCACAAACTAAAGTTCAAAATTTCTAGCTAATCACATAAATTCTCCTTACAAACTGGTAGCAAGGTGGTATTCAAGCTATCCAATAAACTAACTAAAACAAGAACATAACAATTCAATACTGTAGAGACAAGAATCTAAGCAGTCAGTAATCAGTAGTTGGGAAGCCACTCACAATGATTCGGCCTTCAATTCTCAAATCCTTCTGCTCAAACAGCCAAACCATGTTAGATTCTTTGTTGGAGGGGATCTTGAGCTTTCCCCTTTCTGGGATTTTGCGGATCGTAAGCAAACAAAAGTGAGTCGAACCTGGGTTTGGGGAGCAGAGAAGCTGGGATCCGATTCAGAGCTGGGTTGGGTCTATTTTCCCTCCACACCCATCAATCTCCTGCGGATGTGAAAAAACCCAGCGCCGTGGTCGCCCCTGAGACGAGAAGGAGGAGGAGGAAGGAGAAGACGGCGTCGTCGACGAAACGGAGAGCTTCTGCTACTCCTCCAGGAGCTTCTCCTTCGACGAGCTGGGTCGTGCGAGTACAGTCACGCCGAGGAGAGGACAGGGAGTGAGAACAGGGAAGGGAAGCTGCGGCGGCGGGGGGCAGGGAAGGGCGGCGGCGGAGGGCGAACCCGAGTGCTGGACCGGCGCAGAGGATGAAGGAGATGCGGGCATGCGGCGGCAGGTGCTGGGTTGGAGATGATAGCCGAAATGGGTTGGGGTGGGTAATTAGGAATTTAGGGTTAAAATGGGTTAAAATGGGTCTGAATGGGTTTTAAGGGTAAAGCCCAAAAATACCCTACCCTTTAGGGTCAGAATATAACCCGACCCTATTTTGGCCCTAAAGACTAATTTACCCTACCCGGCCCAAAGGGTTGGGCCGGGCCGGGCTGGGCTGATGGGTAGTAAGGGCCACAGTTACAGCCCTAATATTGGGGAATATTATTATTAATAATTATAATAGTCATTCTAGTTGGATTAGGAGATGTGTTAGTATTTAATTAATGTTTCTTGTAGGGGAAAAAAGGGAATTCTAGTAGGATAAGGATAAGGAGAGAGGCTCGAGCCTTGGGTGAGAAGGAATGAGATTTGGTTGTGTAACTCTATAAATAGAGACATTGTCTATGAATAATGGTATGAGAAGATTGGAACCCAATTTAGGTTTGTTTGCTTTGATTATTTCTTTCGTTCAGTTTAGTAGTTTTTTAGTTATTTTGGGGTTGTTCTCGCCATTAAGGAGATCCTCTACTCGAGAACGTCGAGAATCGTATCCTTAAGTCCGGAGAAGTAAAGATCCAGTACGTAGAATTCCGCCCCTACGGCGCATCTACGTAACAGTGCGTTCATGGAAAACAAGATTGTTGGCGATGTGAATAGAAGCTTGATTGTTACAATAGAGTTTCTGCTTCACCTGAGGAACGAGAGACCACTTGTTGCATTTTGGATCGCCATGAAACAACAGCTTGACTAAGGTAGAGGATGTAGCCTGTCGTGGAGCGGCGAGTGAGCAGGAAGCCACCCCAATCAACTTCACAATAAGCTTGTAGAGTGAGAAGATTACAGGATGGGAAAAATAAACCCTGGCCTAGTGACCGTTTGAGATAACGTAGGACCCGGTGGCCTGCCGTGATGTGTTCCTGCTTAGGATTACCAACAAATTGACATAAGAAGTTGACAACATACTGAAAGCCTGGTCTAATGACTATTAAATAAAGTAGGCAACCGATAAGACGATGGTAGGGTTTGGGATCATCACACGGAGTGTCCGCCAATGCCAGCTTATGATTTTTCTCTATCAGGAAGGCATTAGGATGACTGCCAGTCAGACCACTATCCGAGAGAATGTTGAGGGTGTATTTGCGTTGACTGAGGACAATTCCGTTGGGTGAATGAGCAACTTCGATCCCAAGGAAATATTTGGGTGGTCCTAGGTCTTTGATTCGAACTCAGTATCAAGGCATGACTTAACGTGGGCAATGAGGGATGGATCATCTCATGTTAAGATTATATCGTCAACATAAAGTAGAACAAAGACTGATGATGCACCTTTGATGGCGGTGAAAAGTGAGTAATCGGCATGGGATTGTCGGAAGCCACGACGCAAGAGAACCAAAGTTAATTTGGCATGCCAGTTACGGGAAGTTTGACGAAGGCCGTATATGGAACGACCAAGCTTGCAAACCCTTGTGTCTCCAGGGAGACGAAATCCTTCTGGTACCTTCATATATACTTCTTCGTCGAGGTCACCATGAAGAAATGTGTTGTTAACGTCGAGCTAATGTAGAGGCCACTGGTGGGATGCAACAACCGCGATGAGACAAAGCACCGTGACGAGCTTTGCAACGGTAGCAAATGTTTCATGAAAATCTAATGCGAGAAATTTATGTGAAGCCTTTAACTACTAGTCGCGCCTTGTAGCGCTCAACCTCACCATTGGGCTGAAATTTGATTTTGTACACCCAAGAGTCGATGGCACATTTTCTGCATTGAAGGGGTGTGAGCATCCAAGTGTGATTCGCTTCTAAAGCAGTGCTTTCCTTTTGCATAGCCGCTCGACAATAAGAATATTTTGATGCCTTTTTGTAAGTTTTAGGCTTATCCACAAAGGAGATGGCCGAGAGAAAAGCAACATGATGTGAAGAAATACGTTCATAGGAGACATAGTTTGCCATAGGATATACCTCAGAAGAAGTGACTGGAGGAATCAACTCATTGACGACAAGGGACGGTGGGGGAGACATGTCAAATCCTTGCAGAGTAGTAGTTTGGCAGCGTTGGCGATCACTACGGAGCGGAGGGGCATCAGAAGACAAAGTAAGGGTAGAAGTGTCGACAATGTGGTTTCTTCTACTTGCTAGGAATTGTCGGGTGACAGAGGAGTGATTTCTATTTCCGAGGGAAGCTCCATTGGGGTTTCAAGTGATTCGTATGAAGTAAATAGGTTGGGTGAACTGGTTTGACCAAGAGTCCAATTTGTACATAGAGGTGTTGATTTTGGTGGATTGGGGATCTGTATTTCTTGAATTGAAAAAATGGCCTCTTGGAAGATGACATCTCGTGAGATGACTATCTTTTCTTGCTCAAGTAAGTAAATCTTGTGGCTCTTTTGGCCATGAGGATAACTTAGGAAAGCACCTTTACTCCCCCTTTCAGCAAACTTGTTTTTTTCCCCGATGATTGTCATGGGCATATGACAAGCAATCAAATACTTTCATATTGTCGTAAGATGGAGAATGGCCAAAAAGTACCTCATAAGGAGTTTGATTCTTGAGGACTGCGGAGAGAATCTTATTGATGATATATGCAGCTGTAAGTATGCATTCTCCCCAAAACAGGATAGGAAGGCCAGATTGAATCCGATTGATGATACAACTTGTCACAGGACGAGACTTACAAATCCCTGATTCGGGTCCAATTGTACACATTTTGCACCTCATTTCTTGATAGTTTGGCTTTGCATTTCATCGTTCCTCGACATATATCACTCTAGATTGTGCTTGTTTTGATACATTTCAGGTCTTCGCACATGTGGAAGGGTGAATGACGAGTTTTGGGATGATTGAAGATCAAAAAGCGCAAAAACCGAAGAAAAGTCCAAAGCCCGTGATAGTGAAGCACAGGCGTCCAGGAACCAGCCGCAATTCACGGTCAGAGCTGCGAGTTCACGGTCGCTAGGATCGTGAACTGGAACCACAAACTGTGAACAGAGAATCATCCAGAGGGGTTCCGGAGGTTCCTAACAACAAGGCAGTTCACGGTCGCTAAAACCGTGAACTGTAAGCACAAACCGTGAAATCCGGGAGTGAAGTGCTGCATTTTGACCCATGACACAAAGTTCATGGACGCGTTTAGGTGTTCACGTCCATGAACTGGAAGGCCGTGAACTGGGCGCAATCTCAGTATAAATGGAGAGCTGAAAGGAAGAAGAGAGGAAGCTTTAGGTAGGGTTTTAGTTTTCAGAATAAAGAGGGTTTCTAGTGAGAAATTAGTGTTTCCCCTTCCCATTCTAGAGAGAGAAAGTGACACTCAAAGGAGGAAGTAGGAGATTGGGCTCAATTCAAGATAGGGGATTGAAGATTTCTTCTTCTCAAGTTAGATTCAAGCAATAAGGGAGGAAGATTTCCACCTCTCAATGGTTCTTTCTCTCTTTTTTGTTGTTTTCCTTTGCCTAGCTATGGATTAGCCTACCTATTCACTTGGGTTTTGTAAACCCTAGCTACTATTATGTGAATGCTTGTATGAATTGAATGATTTTGTGTATGGTTATTTTTTGATGTGAATGTAGAGGTATTATTCAAAATTGATTGTGTTGTGTGAAAGCCTATCAATCTAATTGTCATTCTAACCTAGCTTAGAGAGGAGACCTCCGTAGTTTATGAGGTTAATTGGGTGTTCTTGGGCATTTCATGCCTCCTAGGCTAGTTTAGAGGGGAAACATTCTTAGATTAAGAGGCTCAATAATGAGAAGGGGTTCTTGGGCATTTCATGCCTCCTAGGCTAGTTTAGAGAGGAAACCTTCTTTACACAAGAGGCTCGGTTTCTTTCGCCATTCAACGCCTCCTAAACTAGTTTAGAGAGAACCCTCCCTAACCTAAGAGGCTCATTCGAGATGGGTTTCCTTGGGCATTCAATGCCTCCTAAGATAGTTTAGAGAGAAACCTCCTTAACTTAAGAGGCTCTATCAGAGATGGGTTTCCTATGGCATTCAATGCCTCATATTCTAGGTTACTTAAAGGGAAAACCTCCTAATTTGCATTAGCACTTAGGGTTTGGTTGTGGGTGGCCGTCCAAACTCCAATTCGAGGGTGAACTCTAAACAGTCCCTAGTGGATAGGTTGAGAGGGTCACATTAGTGGCTTGGGTCGCATCCCATTCCTTAACCTAGAGGTTAAGATGGTTTCTTTGGCTGCTTGTTAGACTTCCCTGCGATTTATGACCCCCTAGCCAAACACGGATTCTCCAAGTCTTAATTGTTAGTTAGGGGGAAGCAATACCCGAGTGAGGTCCTCTCATATAGAGTTCCCCTCGATTTACTTTACTTGGTTTTTTTCATTTGTAGTTCTCATAGTTTTAAACCCAAAACCGTTTTCCTAGATAACAACTTAAGCGATTGAAATAGGGGTACATGGACCGACCCGGGTTGACAATTTAAATACTTTCCCTATACTGCACCCGCCTAGAGTTTAAAAACTTTGGCTCTAGTCGGGATTAATTCGCAGTGTAGTTTCGTGCGAGTCAAGCCCGTTCGGCGTCTTGAGGTGCACTCGATCCTCAAGACTATCCTCTCCGCATACGCATGCCAACTGGTCGCCCTACCTTGGGCTCATCAGGGAGACAACAATAGCCTCCGACCAGTTGTGCCTTTGCTTGGAACGATCCCAGACATAGCCACATCCTGACTCGGCCAAAATGATGCGCAGGAAGACAATGTCTTATCGCTAGAGTCGCCTCATTTACCCCACTTGTGGCAAGACAACTAGATGGCAGCGTTCTTCAGACGGTCATCATGGTCACGACATTTCGGGTCACGACATTCTCCACCACTCATAATGCAGCACGTCCTTGTGCTGGTGAAGAATGCTTCTCTCCACAGCATGTGTTGCAACA